GTTTCCCTTTGGCCTCCCCTCAAAATCAACCACTTTCGTGGGGATCTGAAAGGATCCCAAAGGCATGGCCAACAGTCCTTCGTCTGGGTCGAGATTTGAGACTCGATCTATTGACCGAAGCTGGGCGCCGCATGCCTCGCCTGGTTGGAGAGCTGGATCACCTCCGCGAGCCGCGATAAGAGCCCGAACATGGGCCAGCCCTCGGTGGAGATGGGAATGAGCAAGGGAATGACCCCGATTTCCATCCAAGTGGCTAGGTCCTCCAGTAAAAATGAGGTTAGAATAAGGGTGCCCGACTCTGCTTCTCGTGGACGTCTATCTTAGTAGGGGAACCCTCTCACACAAAGGGTAAAAGGGCACTACTGGGGGACCTAGATTATTGGGTTCACTCTCTCGTTCCCTACTGAGCGCCCGCAAGCAATTCACAGCCAAGCGTTTCCTTGAAGGTTCATTCCCTCATTCCATACTGAGCGCCAGCAAGTAAAGCTTCACAGGCGTGACAACCATACATCTCAAACCAGTCGACTAACATGGCATGCGCGCTTCATTGACCTCGACCATGGCTTCACAGCCTTGCGCCCTGCACTTTTCGTAAAAAAATGAGCGGCAGAAGTCAGAAGCGACTGGAAGTTCAGCGAGAGCTTCTCCAAACGATCGCCAGCAACCCAAAGCATACCATATCCTAAGCTGTAAAGCCGCTGCCTGTCTCGCATTTGGCCTGAGAGAGAGTGCCCACAAACACGCTCTTCAAAATGCAAAATGGGGACCCGCAAATGTGGAGCGGAACATGGGGATGACGTACAGGGCTTTACCCCAATAAGAACTAGCTGTTTCGATAAAATATCGTGCCAATTCAACTGGCCGAGCTTCGCTCACCAGGCGTCAAGAAGCTCATGGCGAACAGGTTGGTGGCGACCTGTTCGCCAAACACCAATCTGAGCACTTCCCTTTGCCCAGCCCATCGAACAAAGGCCTCGAGACCCGCATGTCACACGAGCGTTCTGGCCTGGCCGATCTTGCAAGGATTCTCCCAGTTCGCTTTACTCAGCATCGACTGCGAGTTGCTGAGGAGGCCTGCGAAGCAACCGAGGACTGCGGGCTGGCTTCGTGCGGGGCGCATTTCGTTGAGGAAGGTCAGGCCCCAAAAGCAAGAGCTGCCAGTAGCCCCCAACCACTGCGTGTTCCCATGTCGAAATCCTGAGTGCTGTCCAAACGGTAGTTGTTGGTGGGTGCTGGTATGGACAAGGGCTTTGAGCTGGTGATTGTCATGCTTGGCGTTGGGCCTCTTGTTGTTGGCTTCAACTGGTTCCTCGCCTGGCTGCATCTGCAAAATGTTCATCCTCAGCCAGCGATCCCGAATGACGATTGGACGCAAGCAACGAAATACTAGGCGTGCCTTTGGCTTTAAGCCCTTTGGCCAAAACGCCGTTCAAACTTTGATCCTCGCTCGTGCCAAGTGGCGCAGCAATACCACCTCAGAGGAATGCAATCCAAAGACCAATTGTCTGCTGGAAATTAAGGCACTTTGACAGCAAGCCTCAAGCACGATGGCAGCATGTGTACCTAAAGGGGCAAGGTACTTTGTACTTGGTTATTAAGCCTGGTTAATTATGTCCCACTTAGACTTATAACCATGGTAAGTGGGTTAGAACCAGGCTTATTATATAACCACTAAGTACCCTGCCCCTTTACCCTTTTGCCAATTGAGCTGCAGTAGGACCATATCCCAGTATCGCCGAAGCAACGTCGGCTTCGCATCACCGGCTCCGACAGCGTGCTGTAGGTGATCAGATCCTGGCGGCCATGCGCCCAAGGCGCAACAGGCACTGCACATTGGTGAGCGAAGCCAGGCAAAAACCGGCATGGCACAAAAAAATAACGCGCCAAGCAAAGGGGAAGCAAACTTCCCAGTTTTGCAATGAGGTTCTCAGAATCTTCTCATGCGGATCCCTCCTCACGAACTGAGGTCCAATTCAAGTGCGGCTGCTCGCCACACTCGTGGGACCTCGGCCGTCCACTCACGCCAAAGAAGCGAATGGACATATCCCGGTGGATGTGGGAGGGCAGAAACCAACATGGGCGGGAATCGAGAGCCATCCATTTGTTCATCCAGCAGTTTATACTCTCTTTCTGGTGCTCAGCAGGGAATGAGGGAATGAACCAAGGGGTCCCCTTAAAGGAAACCACCAGTTGCATTTATAGGGGTTCACCCCATTTGTCATTCCCTGCCCCTCGCACCACCAAGTTTCTGCATTCATGTTTTTGCAGGTTCCAGTGGGAACTGACATGTCATGCTAAGACTAAGAAATCTTTCGCAAACGTCCATCGAATCTGGCAACCTGCGTCTCGTGTCGGAAACAGCGGTTCATGGCGTCACCCAGGTCCCCCGATCCAAGGAATATCACCAGCCAGAACCTCTCCTCCATCATTTGACTAGGTTTGACCCAAAATGAGGAGCTCCCCCAACATGCCTGGTGTCCTTTTAAGGCGTCCAACAAAAAAAAGCAAATCTTCTTGGCGGTTGTCAGCCCAGTGGCATCGCTTCGCCGAGCGCATCGAAAAGGCCCAGCAGGGCCCATAGCCTCCAAGGCGATATCTTTTTGGAACCAACGCATAGCTTGCAACACCTTTGTACGGTATCTGGGCTGCCAAAAGTTTTCGGATCCCCTGCCAAAAGTGACTAACTTTTAGTGGATTAAAATCGGAAACCAAACACTTGCTAAAAGCGACTAACTTTTAGTGGATTCAATTAGAACCACGTCACTAAACACTAAAAGGCTAAAGAGCCTTTTAGAAATGGCTGGAGCCACCGAGGTATGTGTCCACAACGCCGTTGAATACTAAAGCAATGCATGCGTTTGTACAGCATCGTTGAAGAATTCAATGCATCAACATGCCTTCAAACTCAATTGTGCATGTATAGCGTATGTCGGTGAGTGTTCCTTGTTTCATTGTTTACACAATTTGCTGGTCGGTTCATCCATTCATCCACGTCCATGCATTTGTGTCACTAGGTGCGTGACCTCGAAAAGTTGAGGATCCCGACCAGGCACCCTCAAAACAAACATGCCCGTATGATCCTGCATGTGCGTAGCGTGCTTAGGTGCTTCAATCTGGCACCCAAATCTCGGTGTGGCAGTGCAAGTGCCAACCCTATGGTTTGGCAAATCCTTGTCATAGACTCACTCCCTCTTGTGACTGGCTGAACGAATTGACCACTCCATGCACCAGTACTGCTTGCCGACCGGCTTTGGGCACGCCAGTTCTGAGCGGATGAACTACTAAGAAGCGAGGCCATGAAATCGTTCCTCTCTACAATGCACAGTGCAACCTTCATGCAAACCCCATTGTCAGAACAAACTGGAATAAGAAGTCATACATTCACATGATGCGAAAGCAGCCTGCAACAGCCTAAAGGTGTAGTGATTGGTTGGAAGCCCTGCGACGCTTCTTTTTCCCGTGGAAAGTCTTGCTGCATGTCCGATGGCATTGATGGCTCTGATGACTCCTTGTGCCAACTTGTTGAATGCACCCGGGAAAGCGCGTCGCCTGTCAACAGTCAAATGCGAAAACTCCTATATCAGCAATTGGAAAAATTGCCATGGCCAAAACTCTTTGTATGGCCCATGGTCATGGTTCCTAGGAGTCGTCAAAGCAACGCAGGCAATGTGGTGGTGCCAGCTTGCCGCCACTCATCTTGCTGCAGCCAGCCATGGCAGCCGCTTGGACGAGACTTTCTTACACAGGAAATAGACTTCGATGGCCCATGGGGAAATTTCAACCGTCGGCCGATTCCAGCACCTGACTACCTGAGTCGCCCGTGCGGAATCGGAGCTCTCTCGTGCCAGCGGCCGCAAAAGCATACGCGAAATCCGCCCGATTCGCTGCCACCAGTCCCGATCATGGCCGATCCTGCGGCTAAAGGATGGCGGGCCTCACAGGGACCGTGAGGGCCCACTTTTAAAAAAATGTAGATCAAACTGGCCCATCCCAATGGAAGGCCAAGCGTGCCGCAACTGATCAACGATCTGCCTAGATCTGCCTGGCATCCCAAGGCAAAACACCGGAAGTTGAACTTGACATGCTTTGGCAGCGACTTCTTTGATGCCTTGGCAGGCAAACAGCACGGATTTGATGGGGCCCTGCGGCCTAAGAGAGAGGGGGCTCCTTGAAAGGTGAGCTATCATCAAACGCCTCGGGGCGGAGCTCCCTCTCATCAAACTCGTGCATTGAAATGTGCAACCCACTTACCTGCCAATCACTTTTCTGGGCCGCTCGAGGTCGGCATATCCATCTTACTCGCTCTCCTTCTGAATAACGTCGATGTAGCGAGTGTTGTTCGCTATGGTGCCTCAGCTCGCAAAGGGCGATGACCTTCCAGGTAAAGCAGCCCGTCACTGACTCACGCACACACACACACACACATACCAGCACCACGGCGATGCTTTCCGTGAGCCCTTTTGAGATCTTTGGGTAGTGTGTGTGTGTGTGTGTGTCTGTGTGTCTGTGTCTGTGTCTGTGTCTGTGTCTGTCTGTGTCTGTGTCTCTGTGTCTCTGTGTCTGTGTGTCTGTGTGTCTGTGTGTCTGTGTCTGTGTCTGTGTCTGTCTGTGTCTGTCTGTGTCTGTGTCTCTGTGTCTCTGTGTCTGTGTGTCTGTGTGTCTGTGTCTGTGTCTGTGTCTGTGTCTGTGTCTGTGTCTGTGTGTGTGTGTGTCTGTCTCTGTGTCTGTGTCTGTCTGTGTCTGTCTGTGTCTGTGTCTCTGTGAGTGTGTGTCTGTGTGTCTGTGTGTCTGTGTGTCTGTGTGTCTGTGTGTCTGTGTGTCTGTGTGTCTGTGTGTCTGTATCTGTGTGTGTGTGTCTGTGTGTCTGTGTGTGTGTGTGTCTGTGTGTGTGTGTCTGTGTGTGCCTGTGTGTGTGTGTGTGTCTGTGAGTGTGTGTCTGTGTGTGTGTGTGTGTGTCTGTGTGTGCCTGTGTTGTGTGTGTGTGTCTGTGTGTGCCTGTG